CAGTTTCGGGGATCGGCTGACCCACACAGTTGCTACTTTCGCTTTTTTGTTAGCGCGACTTGTGGATAGGGTTAATTTGAGAAGACAATTCTATGATTTCTGAGAGAATGCGTCTCTATAAGCGGGGCTGATGAAGTGCGACTTAGACACTGTCACAAACGCATGGTCGAGTACCAGATCGATACTCGCCCAAGCCATAGAGCTCTCCGGGGTAAGCCTAATTGGCAGGTCTGGAAAGGTAAAACTCTGACATGTACATTTGCTGACCGCCGCGATCATTCTATGAGCCACAATCAAGGCGTCACTATGATTCTGATTGGAAGTCGAATGCAGAGGCGCACACGAAAGACGGAATTTATTGACGCCGAAGACTTTTTGGTTCACTCTATTTTCCCACTTACGTACTTTTGTGCTTGTGCCCGTCGTTTAACCTGTCTTTTGACTCAAATCCCCTTCTCCCATCATCACATAGCTTCAGGACGAGTTTTCCTCTAAGCTTGGGAAGAGTGGAGGGAGGCGATACTCAAGGGTTACTGACTGCGTCTATACAACGGCGTGCTCAAGAATGTGGTTCAAATATGATACTCTTAGGAAGCAGGCATCCACCATGATCTTTTGGTAATCGTTGATTATTGAGATGTCAAAAATCATCCAGCCTGTTCGCTGAACAAGATTTTTGGGTGTTGACGGTAACGACATCATTGACAGTTGAAACATTCGAATAATCATTCAGCCTTTCGCCGAACATTATTAATTGGTGTCTGCATTGGGCAGACGTATCCAAAAAACAACTCTCACACTGATTAAATCTAGTCTGACCTGGTGCCTGACAGCAATACGCATCTGCTCCAGCCGGTTTGCAGATGTATCCCGATGGGCAGCCATAACCCTGAAACGCCGATTATTGATAAGTGTAAAGATAAGGTTTTTCTTAATGTACTTACCGTAGCTACAACACATTTCATTGGGATCTGTCCGATCATGGCTACATCTCCATGTGGACAGATTTTCTGTATGACGATCGGGATGGAAAGTTCAGCTACAGCAGGCAAAGCTGAACGAGAACTTCAGTGTGCCATTGTTTATTTACTGTTTATTTACTCTCTTCGTTAATGTTGGCTTTTTGTCTCAGCAGATGCAGGGAGTTGAGTTAAAAGCAGAGAGTATAGAAATTAAGAAATTTCAAATTACAAAAGTAGTATTCGAATGTATCCTACACCGCCCACTACGCCCATAATGAAGGACAAATATAGCTCTCTATTTAGCGAATGACCGCGTACATACATCCGTTTCAACTCGATCTGTCCCAGTTTCCGTGTCAGGAAACCATAATTCACATAGAAAAAGCAATCTGTCATCAGTGGTGTCTCGCACATTGCAACAAATTGCGTGATACGTGGCTAAGGGAGACCAGGGCCCAAAACTTGGGAAGGTCCACCCTACAGATCAAGGTGAGAATCTGCATTCTATCCTTTTGGGTCTACGCGTATATGGACTACCATAGAGCAAAATTCGGGGAAAGCAAAAAAGCTCAAAGTCAAAAATTAAGTAGTCCAGATAGATAGAAAGCTAGTTACTTCCACCTTGGGAGTGATTGCCAACACCTCACCATTATAAGGCTCGAGCGGAATCTTGTGAAGAGTTCTTCGTTACGATGACTGAAGACAAGTTCATTACCCCTTCGCTTTACTTTCCCAAACTTTTATTATTCAGTGTGTCCTAAGAATTTCTAAGTGTTTTCAATATCGTTTCCTTCAGTTGGATATCTTGACTGTTAACAATTGAGATTGAGAGGCTCAGTAAGTTGAGCCAAAGGCAAGTATCGATATCAACTTACAACGGAAATAGCTGCTGTTGCTCATACAGGTATCCACACATTCACGAAGATTTGCGAAGTTGTTTGAATTACCACCTTCACCACTATAGGCGAAGTGAAGACATTGACCATACTCCTAAAAAAAGAATCATAGGAGAAGGTTGGCGCTTTGATTTCCAAAATTCGTTGTAAGCCTGATCCAATCTGTTATTGACCAATTACCCATGATGAAGCCTATTAAGGAAACCAACGTGGGTTGAAAAGAAGACCGAGTTAAGTTTCTGTGCCTGAACTTCTATCTTTAAGGCACAGTTCACGATAATTTTGAGGTGCCCCTTTTTACCCAAAAGACGGAAGTATAGGTTGGGAATAGTTCACTGGTAGTGAAGAAAGCAAGAAGTCGAGGCAATTTCGAAAAAATTAGGCTCCTTTAAAAAAGGGAAATAGCGGTGGGACGAGATTACCATGACGGAAATAACATGAAAGGGATATTCGGGCGAGATTTCATTTGTTGCAATTGCACAAAGAGCTGACTACATGACGCCAGAACTGTACAGAACTTTCCACTATCGCTATGGGTCATGACAAGTTGCTTGAACTCCCTACATGTGTTCCCTTATGATCGGTGCAGCCTCTACAATACCGGTGAAACTCGTCCGAGGATGCACACGGTACAATTTTTGAGCCTTTACAACGCCCCGACTATGCCGTTTTCCGACCTAATAGCGTCAGATATGGTATACGAGGGGTCCTCGATTTCATTCATTGAGGAAATCTCAGAACCAGCTTTATCGTTAACCGTGCCTTTAAACGAAACCTCACACCTTAAGCAGTCGTGAAGATGCTAAGCCTTTGGTAGACCAGATTGAATTAACGACATTCCCGACTTTTTGAGAACTCACCTTCGAGAAGAAAAATCTTGAAATGAATTTGTTTCCATGCCCACTCGACACGGGCTGATCGCATGGATTTGTTGGTATACCTAAAAATGAATGAACACTGCAACATTTACATTCCACATTTTCCCTCATCTTCTATTCGAGGATCTTGAATGTCAAAAATCAGTTTAGAACGTAGTTAGTTACTACAGTAGTTTGAAGTTTTGGTAAAAAACAACTTTGCCTTACGGGCGAATTGAAAAGTATCGGCAAAACATCATAGTTTGTAAAATGGTTGGCCTGGATCTACATCGAGCTCAAGAAAAACGCTCACAAAAATGAAAAGCAACTGAAAATAACAAAAAATAAATGATAAAACCGTCCCTGCGTGAAGGGTCAATTGCAACCTTCTCGACCCTTTAATATAGTTTTTGAAGAAAATAGGTTAATTAGCTTTTAAAGTGGTGTGAAGAAGTGGAGCCTCCAAAAAGTTAAATAGCAAGTCGTAAAAACATAAGAAATAGTGTGATGTGGTGAAGGAATGCGGAGTCATTTCGGTGCCACTTTACGACTTAAAACAGTTTCGCTATCAGGTGATATGAAAAAGAAACCAGCCCGAGTATGGACGGAAACAAAAAGTAGGAAAAGCTCATAGGAAACTGAAAAGGAGAAACCGAAAACGAAAAACCGTACATGCCGTTTCACAGTCGTTCCTTGAAAGGAAGTTGTTTTGATTTCCACCGTAACCATGATAGATGAAAGAAACACACTTCCTCGTTGGTGAGTCGTACGACCAGCGATGACTGCTCTCGACACCGTGGCCAGCATCTTCGGGCATCAAGCATTCTGAAGACATCCCATTCCAATAGTAGAGACCCATCTTCATCAGTCGAAAGTACAGTACGTGCCGCGTAAGAGATTGAATCGAGCATTCGAGGGGTAAAAGAAAAAGAAAAAGGAAAAATGTATAAAAAACGAGAATTCTTCCAAAACAGAAACACCAGGAAAGTTGGAAAAAATGATAGCTGAAAAAGGTTTTTTTTGAAAAAGGAAATTGGAAATGAATTCAAACTGCTTGCACAGGGAGAGTTGCATTATTGTTGAAGCCTCCTGGAGGTACTCCACGAAACTCATTCGGGAGGACAAACAAAATGGGAATGTGTTCTATTCAACAATCATAGTTTCAAGAGCAACGTACAACATGAAAGACATAAGGAATAGTATTGAGACGAACGGAGGATTCACCTGGTCGTATAGAATCAGAGATTGGATGTCTGATTGACTTTATCGGTTCTGAGCAGCAAACTCCTCGATTTCCATGAGCTTTACAGAAACTTCCTTCAGGACACGACAATGGCAAGGAAGGGAAGCAGCTGAAATGAGGATTTTCGGAGAGTAATAAAAGCTTCCAATTACTACTTTCCAATTGTCGCAACGATCTACCGATCAGCGTGTAGAGGCGCATCAATGTTACTAGAAATCATAGAAGACTGGGCCTAGTCTCACACCCGAATGGATGGCGTGCCTCGTTCACTCGTCGCGTGTTGGAGCGCACAGTCTAAGGGTGGATTTCAAAATACCATTGGATGACTACGGTAACACGTGCTCGCGTGCTCGCGTGGGAATTTGGGTAATGTGTGCCACCCATAGGAACTAATGAATCATTATTCACGAGCGGAAAATCCCATTAGTTTTCAATTGTACCCAAAATTGGTCGAAAATTAAACGAAATGAACACAATCAAAACAAGTAAGAATCCGCGGTCAAAAAGAGTGAAAATCTTGTCTAAACCTCACTTTTGACTCCCATCAATCGCAGGTAGAGGTGCTCCTTCTTCACAAGGGTTCAGATCTCTACAAGTGGATTCACACTCCTGGAGGCTCTCAAAATTGTTTTGGTTACCCTGAAAGTAAAGTGCAATTTCCTAAACCTTCGATAGTATAGGGAAATCTAATAGGGATGATGTGCATACCTGGAATCCGTGAAATACGAACATGTGGCACTGACGTGTAGAGGGTTTATAGTACCATCGAAGAAGTGTTGATGTCCCTACACCTGGACGTTGCGGCTGTTCGCATTGCGGCTCAGCTGTATTTGAAAGACAAAATTGGAACGGTATCATGACACTGGGAGAGCGGAACGCTCAAGTAGTAGTAATAGGTAGTGGGTGCTGAGCTAGCAATATTTATAAAAGAGCCTTTAGGTCAATCAGGTTCCAACAAAAAGGAAGTAATTGATGTATGCAGAGAGAAATCGATGGGATTTCGTGGAGGTGAGCCTTTCCTAATCATCGTGAAGCCGTTTTCTTTCCAGCTCCTCCTTCAGAATTCTGGGATGCGCTTTCACGCATACGTATGCGTATCGTACTGCCCAATTTCAAAGCTGAAAAGAGTATCTCCCAGACCTGCGACCTATGTGTTTCCTAAGTAGTTTTGTATTCTGCAGTGCTAGTTGGCGATTTCCGGCAATAGATTCTAGAAGCCGAGCCGTGCCGCTTTCCTCTTCCCACCCACTGAACCTTTAACCTAGTCTCAGCATAGAGTATTGACTGGCATGTAGGGGTGACTGGCATGGCATCCATATGGCAGAAAAAGGTGAGGAGAGGGAGGCAAACTAAAAACTTACGCAATGTTGGACAACAAATACTTTGCGCATCTCCAACTTGACAAAAAGTCCCAGCAGGACAAGTGACTCCGTCCAAAACACACATAATCACAACATCACCGCGTAGGGGTGACTGACATGGCGAGACATCAAGAGCGACCTGCTGAAAAAGAGCAGCCGTAAAACTTTTTTATTAACAACCAGAGCAGATCACGAAGAGGTCGAGTAAGCACATTCGACTCTCCTCTAATTTGCCGTTCAGGCATTCTAGGCTAATCGGGGAAAAAGGCTTACCGAGTGGTTCGACGTTACTTCATAATCCGTGGTACCTCGTGGCGCTGAGGGACGTCCTGGTTGTTCGCCTTTGACGATTGTAGAGAATTGAGATTTTTCATTAATCTGACGTTGCAGAAGCTCCTGCAGCCCTGCAGCCAAGTCTTGCGGCATTATGTGATTCGAGATGGGAGGAGCGCTTGAGGGCTGTACAGGAGCAGCAGTAGCGGCCAGATTCTTTTCTAGCACCTGATGAAACGCCTGCATTCCACGTTCAACCCACTGAGGATCTGGAACTCCTCCAGGCTTCTGATGTGATGAGAATTGGCTTCCATACTGTGGAGCTATGCCATCTACAGTAACGGCGCTGTTTTTAGCATATTGATAAGCTACGGGGGCTCCAGGTGCTGGATGTAGACCTGGGTTAGAGATATAAAACATCGGTGGCAGTGATGGCTGAACGACCTGACTGACAGCTCCCTTCAAGGGAAAGGCAGGCCTTTGCTGACCAAGGTATTCAGAGGACGGTTGGACCTCTGTCGTCGGTCCCAAGGTGATTGCTTGCATAGGGCCTGCGATCAACACTGGCTGGACAGTGGCAGGCAAAACACTTGGAGCAGGTGCTACGATCACGCCACTTTTTTGGGAATTCCAGTTTGAAGGAGGTGGCTGACCAGCAGCGGGACGGATTGGCGATGGTAGAATGACTTCAATAGTTTTTGGACCGCTCCATTTGGGAGAAAGTATCAAATCAGGTATCTTCTCAGCTTTCCCTTGGTTACTCAATTTAGGGGGTACTGGCAGATTAACAGCTGGTGGTTGAGTTGAGAGTGACATTGTGGCTTCAGCACTTCCTTCACCGCTCCATTTCGGAGATGCTATGAGATCAGGACCATTTTCAGCACTTACTAATTGAGCTGTGGGAAAGGGAGCGATTACTTGTGGGGTTTCACTGGATGTTTTTATATGTTCGAATATAAAGTTGTATTCTCCCGATTGCGCTGGCGCCGGAGTGGTTTCCGGGATTTCTTCACCACCGGACGGAGCTGCTGGCAACAGGGTCACTTGTGGGAATGGTGGTATGAACTCTGAAATAGTATTTTACAACGAAAAAAGCTACTTGCAAATAAGATCTGTTGACCGATACCTTTGGGGATATTGATAAGGGTTGGGAATGGGTCTAGCGTAGTTGCTTCTTCAGATGAAGAGGTGTAGTTTTGATTTGTTTCTTCTCTGCTGGACGATTTACGCAGAATTTGACTCGGTGTTGAGGAATCAAATGTAAAGGTGCTGGATTGACGCTCCGAAGATGTCTCGCTCTGAGTTGGAGTGGGAGCAGCAGCAGTAGTAGGCGATGCTGAATCAGGGAACTTATCTACTAGTACAGAAAAGTAGAAAAAGGCCATTTATTTGCTGAATTAGGGTGGAAAAACGCGAGGAATTTTGAATGTATTCGTTTAAGCAATTATGAAATGTTCGACGTATAGTAAGGAATAATTTAGTGGGCTGCGCCATGCACTTGACTTCTGTGGAAGCACTTTGTCCCATATCTTGTATGTCACGAATTTGTTGTTTGTTAGAACTGAAAAATATGTTATCCAATTGTTAATGAGGAAGCTGTTTAGGCCCCTTATGCATCGGGGTGTAGTACGCTAATCATTTTTTCAGTTTATTTGAACACACACACATGTGTTCCTCATACCTCACCTGTAGAAATTCACTGGTAAGGCCATTATTTTAGTCATTATGGAATGCAGAAAGGATAAAGGAAGAGGAGGAAGAGGATGACTAAGACGAAGATTCAGTCCGGCACTCGGCTCTTACAGGCCACGTGCCGAATTACTGTAAGAGCCGAGTGCCGGACTGAATTT